TTAGAAAGCAAAGGCAGTAATAAGTTGTTGTGAGCGGAGTTTACCCTGACAAAGTTTCCCTCTGGAACTATTTACCAGAAGCAATTCGGCTGTTGATCACAAAAGGGTGTGAAAAGTACATGAATTTTCCTTCCTGTTCTTAAAGACAATGAAAACTACTAGCATATATACATGGCAAACTTAAAAATATTAAATATTAGCAACCCTAGAGTAACTCTAGAGCAGCTAGAAAAAAAGAAAATTACATTTGCTTTCCAGTAACTATTTCCTTCTTTAAAAAGGAGGAAAAAGCTTTTTTTTTCCGATCTAAACCATCTATACACACAAAACACAAATAATTCTGAAATTCTACGAATCTATTTGAAATGATATAATTTATCCTAGTCAAGAACTTACCTACTGCATTTGAACAACTCTAAACGATGTTTTCTGGTTCACTTTAGAAATGGAAGTGTTATGACTGTCAGAAGCAAGTTGAACCATTTTCTTTTGCAATGTGTAGCACAAGACTCCATCATTTAATCATTCCAAGTGCTTACGATCAGAAAAGTAAGGCAAGTTGTAAGGTCTGCATTAATATAAACACTCCAGTGACCTCTCATACCCCATGGCACAGTGAGAACTCAATTTCACATTAATAAACCCTAACACCAAACTGTTAGAAACTCAAAAGACACCCGGTATTACAACTTACATAAATTACAGCCGAGATCAAATGGCCCGTACAAGCAATTGTACAGTGATAAAGCTTAAGTGGATGATATTTAAACAGATAGTTGATTTACTGCAGAATTTTATATCATGCTAGAATTCAAATGACAATTTACAAGTCCAGAGGAAAGAAATCCCTGTCCCATGCAAACTACTGTTTGCAGCACTGTTTCAGAAGTGCTTAATATTGTAACTTTAAGAAAGAAATTCTTCCTCGATATTCTCAGGACACAGCCTTAGAATCCAAACTATAAAACCTGACATTTAAAAAGAGAATGAACAAGCTGCTACTTCATCTCAAGGTAGGAAATAACATCTTCAGTCTTCTGTGAGTTAAGTCTCATGAACCTAATTTTTGCAAGCTAATACAGCTGGCTGTGGTTTTTTCCATTAAAAAAAAAAAAAAAAAAGCTGTGATGCTAAGTTTGAGGATCTGTCCCTCCAGTTCTTTAAAGATGTACAAACTGCAAAGATTGCAGGACAGCACCATCTCTCATTAACGGCAGCAACACCACTAGTTAATATTGATCTGTTTTCCATAGGAAAAAACCTGCATTTTGTACTCAAGTTTGAGATGCCTCACAACAATACAACAATACTCCTGGCCAGCTTTTCCTCAATTCCTCAGAACAGTCCTGCTTTTCTACCTAAGGAAACATGCAGAAGAAAAAGAATATAAGGAATAAAGTAAAAGCTGAATTTGCAGAGCAGGAACTGTGCAGATGTACTTTCTTGAACCAAACTTTAACACCTGAACTGGTTACGCATGGCTCCCCTGAGAGCAGACAGCCCTCTTATTCCCCAGCCGTGAGCAACTATAGATAATTCCGTGTGAAAAAAATGATCCATCAAGGAAAAGATTTATCAAATTAAAAAAATTGCAGGCTTCCAATGTGATCCAGGAAAACCTCTCGGCCAATAGTTGCAGCAGCAGTAATTGTTCTAAATCTATCAATAAAGCTAAGCTGCTCCTTCATTGACTGCAAACACCAATTTCTTTCATGTAGGATTATAAGTTGATGTTCATGGTCTCTCTACTGCCATTAGGGTGATAAACAGTTTAAACTGCATCAGGACCTGACATGTAGATCAATTCTGGGTCCATAAAGAATCTACACAAGAGGTTCCCGGACAGGGATTTACTGCCCCCGGTTTTTATTCTCTCTTGCTGCTAAAATTACTTCTGTCAACTACTTACAAGAGTAAAAAAAAAAAAAAGAAAAAGAAAAAAGTAAAAAGAATTAATTTTTCATGTGCTGCTAGAACAGTCTTTTTAAATTTCTGAGTTTTTAAGGCAAATATGTTACTGCATTTAAAATTATGCTGAACAGCAGGTGGTATTTAGCTAAATAGTGAGCCAGTCGCACGACCTGCTCACTATCAAGCAGACAGCAATTTGAAACACCGAACTAAGCTGTCTACATTTTCTCCGAGGGCAGTCACAGGCTTCATGTTACCAGTGCCAAATTATATTAGACATTTAATTTTAAACCTCAGGTACTTAAATGTAAAACCTTACAACAGTAATAGTCATAAAGCAGTAGGGCATTCCATTTCAGAGAATGGATTTTTCTATTTTTCCCCTTTAATTTAACCAGCACCTCCTGTTTTGTGGCTCTGCCCACTACAAAGTAATTTATCTAATTAGGAGATGTTCACAGCTGCTTGAAAGACAGAAGCCCCAGGAAACCAAAGGTCTGGTTCAGAAGACTTTGAAAAGTTCTCCAGAGCCACACAAAGTATTAATTTAATGTGAAAAAAAGGTGCAGAGAAAAATTGAATCCCAATATGTTATTTTGTCTACAATAAAACCATGTGACAATAAGCAGGCATATTCTCTAGTACATTGGCATTTGAATTCCAAAAGATGCTTAGCTTCTCGCCATACCTGCTGCTTTCACAGTATTACCTTTTTATGACTAAAATTCAAAAATCTTTTAATGGAGAAAAAACCCTCTGAAATTAAAAAGAGTTTTTCATGCGTCAACTTACCAGCATAAAGGCTTACCGAAAGATGATACACTGATAGCAATGAGTTATTCTTGAGGTTTTGTAGTAGTTTTATTGCAGTGCCTGTTTCTGCTGATCCTTGGTTGCCTAGAACTCACTGTTCTTCCCACATATATTTTAAAAAAGCAAGTTTTCCTTTTTTTTTTTTTTTTTTTTTGAAATTAGAACCTCTGCAAGAAATTATTCAAGTCAGGCTTATTCAGAAGTACCCACCAGTCACCTGCATTTTTTGAATAAGTATTTAATAGATAATTCTAGCCATCATCTCTTTTGCTCCAGAAGTAATCACATATGAACATTAAGTCAGAAAAAGGTACCGCATATAATTGGAGTACAGAGCTCGCGTGGAAGAAAAGGTTCCCTTCACCAGGAATTTAAAACTAGCTGAAGCGCAGCATCAGGAGCAAAAGATATGTCCAGCAAATATCGCCAAAGTAAAAACAGCTTTAATGAAGTAAAGGGGAAAGGAAGAGGTAGGAATTTAGGTTATATTTCTACTTTTCAACACATTAATTACATGCCACTTTTAGCAGCTCATTGAATTCTGCATTTTGAAGGTTTTCCTCTACTGCAGCCTCAATTGTCACATCTGGTACTAAGGAGCAAGGGCACAGGATCTGCTCACCTGTCTGTAGGTATGTCAGGGTGTCAGGGACCAGAGACTACATCTTGGTTTTCACTTGCCTTCCTTCTACTGCAAACATAGAATATTCTCCAACTTTTCTTTGAAAAGCTATAGTACAAAAGAAGGGTGCAAAAAGCTGAAGCTCTGGTATAACCTTTTGAAAGGGAAATAGAATTGGGATGGATTAAAATGACAAAGCAGCTTGGGAAAAGGAAAAGGAATCTATGGCCTTAACTGTGAAACCAGTTCAGTCTAATGGAATCCGTGTAGGGGGATGCTGGTTGCCCTAAAAGACTAACCAGTTTCCAAAAGAGTGGGTGAGTTGGGTGGACAGAGAAGAGGAAAGCACTGAAGGATTTTATCGTGCTGCTTAGCTGTATCTCTGGCTGTCTCTGAGGCTAAAATAAAGGATGCTTCCTTTAGAAAATTCCCGGTTAAAATCTGTAACATTTTGATGCAAATACAATGCTTCTGAAGAAGCTGCCCACAAGTTTAGAGCTTCAGAAATGTACGTGCTTTAGCAGCTATGATCTTGAGAGCTAATGCCACACAGAGCCAAGGCGACCATGATTTTAAGCCCTCCATTCTCATAAGGTGGCACTGGAAAGCTGTCCGAAGCTGCTTGAAAACCCAGAGACAGTATCAGGGCTATACTCAGATTCAAACTGTATACAGATACACACATAAATATATATACACAACTACACACACAGAGGTACACACACACAAACACACGTATACACAAACATGTACATGGGACATGTGAAACATTTTTCATACTCCTATAATTCTCACTATTTTAGGGATAGCCATCAGAAACAGCTTTCCTCCCCATTCTCCTGTCCTATTCACATTTCTCCCCCTTATCCATATTCTCAATTTCTTCCTCAGTTCACTATTCTTTCACACACTCATCTCCTCTTCCCCTCTGTTCCATGAAGTTCCCATGATTTCTCCAACTGCCTTTTAAACCCCACGCTCCTGGACACATGTTCTTCACTGGTACAAACCTTCTCGGCAGCCCACCACAACAGCAACACCTGAGTCCCAGCCTGCCCACCCGCCACGGCTGCTCCAAGGATGCTTGTATTTGCATAGGCAGCAGGTCAGCTATAGGTGAACAGCGTTATAACCCTGTCCTTCCTAGGCACTCCATCGAGGCCAGATACATCATTTTGTTACCAAATATCATGTATACCCTTTAAAAACAACCACTCCTGTCTTGCTGTTACAATCTAATCATTGCAAAAGACCATCTGGAATAGTGTTTGCTCCTTTTAACACTGTTAAACACTCCACAGAGAAAACACTACGACTATGCCAGTAGTGTGCACATATTAAAGCAAGAGCACAGCTGAGAAAGGACATGCTGATGAAAAGATCTGGAGGATAATTTACTGCTAATACCTATCACACAGAGCAAGGAAATAAGAATATGAAGTGAAAAACCTATATTACGTTTTTTTTTATTGATCTGTTCTCTTTTATCTAATTTCTCCTTTTTCTCTCAGATGCTGGAAGTTTGGCTTCCCACAGAGCATCCGGGTGAACACCAGGTCGTATTTTTTTTCCCTTGTCTTTTTTAAAAAGCAAACCACCGAACTTCCCCTTCACCCCAAAGCAGATAAACCCCTCCCAGCTCCAGGTTTCTTACCACTGCTAATGCCAGAGTTTGCAATGACTGTTGCCTCACTCCACTGATCTGCACTGGAGACCGAGTAAGAGCGCTGATGCATACCATCCGGACGACTGTTGAAGGAGACTAGACTGATCCCACTTGCCATCTGAGACACAGATGTGCTAGTAGTCACGTTCCCTAGACATAAATGGAAAACAAATTGTGTCAATAGAGAAGACAAAATTGATTTGCATGAAGATGGATGGGTGCGTCTTAACAGAGCAGAAAACGAGATTACTTAACCAACACAAAAAACACCACAGCCCTCTCTGAAACTCTGAAGACAACAGTCCTGTGACCAGCGTGAGGCACCTCAGATTTCAGTAGCCCACTCAAATCCAGCTAGGAACTTCTGACAAAAGAACCTAAGTCTTCAAGATTTCAGCTCACTCTGTTCATTCATCTTCTGGAAAACACAATCTTCTACAACCCTGCTACCAGTCACAGTTTGCAGAGGTTCTCCACTTGTTACAGGTAGAGCATGAAAGCCTGACTGTGCACAGAAAAGAAATTTATTCCTGAAAACCACTGTTTACACAAGCAAGTGGGATGAGACAACTAAGTCAACTTGAGTTTAAAAGAATCTACCTCTAAATAACATTTCACTTAAGTATGTCCCCCAAGTGAAGCCAAGAATACAGTGATGGGGAACAAATAACAACTAGCATTGCGAGACCAAGCAAAAAACTTCCTTGCATTTTTAATCTTAAACCAATATCATGACACAAAGCACACGCTAGAGGCTTGTTCCATTAACTTAAAATGTAATTCCCGTCTCTTCCTACAGCAACACCTATCAGAACTCTAACTGAAGGCCTACTACACAGATGATGAAATACAAAGAATGGCCTTTACCCAGTAAACACTAGAAACAATTTTAGAATTTTCATGATCAGCAAGGTCTAGGGCAATAAAATGCTGGCAGGTGTGTGCAAGGGGAAGCAACAGGGACAGGTTTCTCACCATAAAACAGGAGAAGGGTGATCTGGTTGAGTGGATTTTAGAGTTGAAACAATTAAAACCTTTCCAGAAACTCAGGTTTCTGATGGTCTTACTCACAACTTTATATGGGCCGAAGTCTGCTCTGCAGTTTTGCTTTCTGAGCAGATTTTACTCCATTCCTGGCACAGGACTTGCATATTATAAAGATACAAATATTTCACAATGCTAACTTCACTCCTTGTGGCAGGCTCTCGAAAAGTACCCCACAGGTTTTCTACGGATTTAAGAATACTCTTCAAAAACACATGTAAAGGGAAAGAAACAGACACAATTTTATAGAATACCCTAACACTTTGCATTTCCATTGCACCTTCTACTGATGAGTTCAGAAAAATTAATGAATTAATTTTCAATGCTCCTGTGAGGTTGTTAATTATCTGCTATCATTTCCCCCATTTTTCAGAGGTTAAATGACCCAGGGCCACAAAGGAAGATTGTGACAGACTTGAAAATAAAACCCAGATCTCCTGACTCCCAGTTCTATCATTATGTCTTTTCCCAGAGCAGCCTTTGGGAAGACAGCAGAGCTTAGTGAACTACTTTGTGTTTATTAGAGTTGGCATAATTGTCCCTTTCTCTCCTCCCCTTTCCCAAGACTAAATCTCATCTTTAGTCCTTAACACAGATCCATCACTACACTATCTGTCCAGCTGAGTCTTGAACGCACTTACTCATTCTCAAGAACTTCTGCTTGGCAATCTCTACTTTGTAGACATGAAACACGTACGGAAAAAACTAATTTGCTCAATTATGCAAAGTCTAAGGTAGATTTTGGAACCGCGTTGGGGCCTCCCAAGGCAGTGCTTTAGCTACTGGCACATAATTCCTCTCTAATCACCTTCTCTGTCCAAAAGAATTCGATAATCAGAGCATCATCTGCTAAACTGTTGAAAAAAATGTATGCCTCCAACAACTGGTCCCCTTCAGGACATTGTGTGCTTGACCCATCGACTGAGGACAGTTTGCTAATGCTGGTATTTTAGCACCTTCTAAAGACATCTTCCAAAGACACTTTCAGCAAAGAAGTCAGGCCTACAGAAAGGAAAGCACAAAGCAGAGGATTAAATTATAGCTCAAATTTAAGTTGGAATAGAAATGGAAACACTAGCTGACGGTACGTATTTTGAGGTCTCTTATAAGAAATACCTCCTTCCAAATGAACTTCTGTGATGCCACTGACTCTCAATTTGAAAAAAACTTTTCCTCCAGTTCTCACAATCAGAAAAACTATGAATGTAATTAAATTATTTTGATGATACACCAAATTAAAGGGAGTGGCTGACATGAATATCAGAACTTGAGATCAAATAGATGCTAGAAAGTTTAGATTTAGGCTAACATAAACACCATGTCGTTCAACAAGGAGAAGTCCTAAGCCCTGCTCCTGGGGCAGAATAACCTGGTGGGGCAGCAGAGGCTGGGGACCAGTTGGTTGAGGAGCAGGACTGCTGTGAAAGACTCAAGAGTCAACGATGGATGCAGAATGTGCGCACACAGAGAATGCTGTACTCAACACAAACAACAAGCTGGGCACACCATAATAGGCATCTGAAACACTGTACTTGGTTCTGGGTCCCACAATTCAAAAGAACTGCTGGGAAGGGGGAGAAGAGCCAGCAAAGAACTGCCAAGACAGTTAAAGGTCTAATACACACGGCCCACGAGTGCTGAGGAGGCTGAGCTGGTTTAGTTTGGTTAACAGGAGGCTGATCTAACAGCTGCCTAAAGCTACTAGAAAGACACTTATAAAGGTCAAGGAGCCAAATAGGTGGTAGTTGTAGATAATAATATAAAACAGCAGCAACAATACAGCTTGGGAAGTTCAGGTGCAGCACTGGAACAGACTACCAAAAGAAGCTGGGGAATCTCCATCCTCTCAAGTTTCCAAAGCTCAGCTATGCAAAGAGACAGCTGAACTTATCCAACACTTTTGACAGTCCTGCTTCTTCAAGAAGGAGGATGGTGCAAGATGATCTCCAGAGGTCCCTTTCAAACAGCATTTCCAGGGTCTCTCAAAACTACACAGGCTTTTTCTTCTATCTTCCACCCCAAAGCAAAACAAGACAACCTCTCTGAACTCAGACGCTACTCTGTATTCCCATCTGTTTCAAAATATTTCCAACAATTTCCACTTCGACACATCTAAGCAGCAAAATAGCTGCAGTTCCTTTGACTGCAACTTAAGTTGCAGTCACAGGATGAGAGATACCAACAGGACCTTTAAATGAGTTGGTTTTAAATGAACATACAACAAAGTTACGAACTTTTTTCTGGTCCTGTTTCTGATTTTGTTTGTTAGCCTTTAACTTTGCAAAAATCAAACATACAGGTGACAATTATGTAGCAGATTAATCCAAACTCTTTGCTTTGCTTTGTGCTGTAGCACCTTTTGGAGCATCTTTAGATTATCACTGGTAAATAGCTTTGGAAACAACTTATTTTTCATGAGCATCTACCCTGCCAGACTCAAGAGCAAAGCCACAAAAGCACACTTTTAGCCTGTAGCCATCTTTCAGATTGCACCTAGCAAAATAGGAAGCTACATGTGATTAATTCCTCCAAGGGCATCTTTGTCACAAAGATCATGAAGGAGAAAACTGGTACGTGAAAGCCGGGATGGAGCGTATCCTAGGTATCATGGGAAAACGGGAACAATTACTGGACATCTTTGCCTGGACGACACATCCTCATTACTCTGTGCTGGGTGGCTGAGTTGCAGAGAGCAGCAATATTTGTATGTTGACATCTTTCACCTACTTGACAAATTTTTGAACAGAAGTGTCCAGTCACTTTCTAACCATGACATAAAATCAAAAATTTAAAAGGATACCCAGTGTAATATCAAGACTTCTACATCATCATGTCAGCACCAAAAGCTTTACTTTCATCTTAATGCCATCTTCTGAAACTCCACACCCCACATTATGACACTAACCTATTGAGGAAGTGACTTATTCTGCAAATCAAATAGGAATTTTTCTTTTGCTTCACATTTCTGAAAGGTATGGGCTGCTAGCAAGAAATAGGTGCCACGTCCCACCATGTAATACTTTACTGGTCAATGAAGCAACCCAACTCAGCTCTACCTTTTCTATTGCCATGGTCTGATAACTCTGCTACCTGCAACCCTTGTGATAACATTTATTCAAGGTTAAATCCCACTTTTTTCACATGCTCTAAGATTCTCATGATGTATCAGACCATGCAAGCCAGAATCCATGGGTAGATATCAGAAGGGCTGGACTACAGAAAACAGAGTATGCCCTTTCGTCTCCCCCTGCTGAATGTGTTCAGCTTTAGCACTAACTTGTTACTTACAACCTTATTTACAAATCGTCATTTCCCAATCCATTGTTAATTTTCCCATTTCTCAGTCTAATCGCAGCATGCCCAGGATTGCACCACCCCAGTAGGCACTAATGTTATCACACCAAACCAAGGACTACTGGAAGTCAAATGCTGTTCTTGCACATTTTGTATGCTGCACAAAGCTTCTACAAAACATTCTTACAGTTTTTCCAGTTTATAACAGACAAACCCCAATCCAGACCTCCACAAAGCAACTGTCCTTTGTTTCTGCTCAAGGATAAAGCCTCAACACCAGAAATCATCTCAGCCTTTTGGCAAATAAGCAAGAGATGGTTAAAAAGAGGTGGCCAGCCATACTCGCTGAAAAGTAAACCCTGTATATTGGGTTAGGCACATGAAGCCTTTACCTCAAGCTCTTACAAGCAGTGCCTTGATGCATCCTGCATCTGTTGACTCCCCTATCTGCACATGTATACACACACACGTATCTATCTATACGTAGACAGACAGATACATATCTCGACACTAACATGAAATCCATGGTCAGCTACCTGGCCCATTCTGGAGTTGTGAAAGAGGGTCTCTTCAAATACATCATATATGCATCAGCTGGTTGCTTAAGTTGATTAGCAGGGGGCAGTTAAATTACTATGCTAATCCATGTATTCTCAGCACTGTTTCCTTGATATGGATATGTGTATATGCTTACCGGGAAGCCTTGATTAGTTCAAGCTTCAATGTGTCAAAGGCTCCAGATTCTTTCCAAAGAATAATTTTAGCTGTACTAACATCCCTAAAATGTGGGAGCTGATTTGAAAAGGTACTTA